AAGTGTTGTTTCTTTCTTGCCATCCTCCCCCCACATTGGTTGCTGGTAGCAATCACCCTGCATTGTCCCCACCTGCTCAGCCCTTTGGCAGGATACCACCTCCATATCTTGGGGTGCTTCGTCCATGCAACCATGGTTGCTGCTTGTAGAGCAGGAGAGAACTGGGGACCTTTGGATGTGAAGGCACTGGAAGAACCCATTCCTGTGTACAGCTTGTGTTCCTTGCCGTGGCAATGCAGATCTTGCACCTCACAACCTTTCCACGAAAGCCAGTGGTCCCACAGCACAGCAGCCCCAAGGCTGCTCACCTCGTCCCAGCACTCCCAGGATGTAGTGCTTCCATAGCTCTAAAGGCAACTCATGGCTCCCCAGTCCTCTTTTTTTGAGAGAGAAAGAGAACTCCGACTAATGCCAAAAGGAGGACAGGCCTGCTGGGGATTGCAGTTCACTTTTTAATTTTGAGATGCCTCGTTAGCTCTGGGCCGAGCTGAGTGGCTGAGAAGCGTCAGCCACTCACTCTCCTCCCTCTCCCCCACCCCCATGGAAGTCCATTAGGCCGATGAGCAGGTCGGCTCTCAGGGGTGGTGCCATGGCAATGAGTGCGATGTGCTCACCTGGAGAGCTAAGCTGAATGGGGAGACACAAAGGGGGAAAGTTGGAGCCATGTAAAGGTGTTGGAAAAATCTGGGAGCAACTCCTCCAGTAACTCCTCCTCCTGCCCCCACCAGGTCCTGGTTCAGTGGGGGCAGCCCAAGGGAGAGGTAGAGGGACTGGTGTTGAAGGCTCTGCAGGTACATCAGCCCTTGGGGCACAGGTGATAAGCCCTTCCAGCCTAGGAGCCCTGGACTGTCCCCTCTTATATCTCAGCCACAAGCCCTAGAGTAGCACACCACGCTGTGGAGATGTGGGACATTGTCAGGGTGGGACATTTAGGGACCATACAGCCCAGTTTTCACGGCCTGAGCAAGGAAATGGCCTGGGACTGAAAGGGCAGGAGGGGGTCATTGCAAGGCATGTCTAAGGGGTTTGGCCAGGGTTGTGGAGGGATCGAGGAGGGATTTGCAGGGTAGGAGCAAGATCAAGCCAGGGCTCCAAGAGGGACATCTCTGTTCTGGTTATGCAAGATCAGCAACAATGCAGAGCGAGATCATTTGGTCTTTGGTACAGGACAACATATCTCACAGAGAGATCAAATCACAGGTAGGTGCCATCCAGCTGGCCCTGGCCTGAGGGCCGGACAGTATGGGGGCAATTTATATAGCACAATAATTACATTCCGGTAAGGCAAGCAGGACACTCATGGTTTAGGACTGAATGAGCAGGGAATGCTGCAGATAACATCTGGGAAGCATTGCAGGGTCAATCGTAGGGGAGAGAGCAACCTTTCAGAGCAGCACTCTGGTTCTTGTAAGTGCTCTTAGACACTCACTTTCAGAAGCATTAGTTCCATAGGAGAGAAAAAAAAAGAAAAAAGAAAGCAAACGAAGACTATATTGCCCCAGGGTAGAGAAGGCTATGAAGGAATGGCAGGAAGATCCCATTTGAGCTCAGTGACTCAGCTGCTCTCTGTTGGTGCAACATTTCCAGCCCAAAACTTTGCAAGAGTTCCAAGCAG